ATGGAGGTTGAATATCTCTTCGAGATTCTACTTGGCAATATAATAAGTTTATTGTTGCATTCCAATGCCTTGAGTAGGAGGAGGTGAGACAATAACCAGAACACATTACTCTATCTTGTGAGTATCCTTGAGGACGATTTTGAAGTTTCAATATCAGCCTTTTGATTCACCATAGATTGTTGTGGAGCATCTATTTCTTGACTCATAGTGGGTGGTTTCATAGTCACTGCCTCATCGAATATGACATCTCTACTATATATAATCTTTTGATCCTTAGGGTGGTATAATTTATATCCTTTTACTCTTACTTTAAAATTAAGAAAAATACATTTGATAGAACAAAGCTTAAGCTTACCAATATTTATACGAGCATAGGTAAGACAACTAAAAGTTCTAAGAGCAGAATAATCACTAGGAGAGCTAAACCAAACTTCTTGAGTAGTCTTTTTCTCGATGACAAGAGAAGTAAATCTATTAATGAGGTACACTCCCATGTTTGTTGTCTCAATCAAAATTGTTTTGGTAAAGAAGCATTTGATAGCAAACAACGAACTTTCTCAAGAATGGTTTGATTCATTTGTCATACTACACTGTTCTATTGCGGTGTAAGCCGAACTATGAGATGTCTTAAGATGCCTTCAGATTTACAAAAATCTTGAAATTGATTTGAGTAATATTCTATCCCATTATCAGTTCGTAGAACTTTAATAGATTGATCAATTTACTTTTCTATCATTATTTTCATTCTTTAAAATGCTGAAGTGCATCAGATTTATTCTTCAAAAAATAAACTTATATCTTTCTCAAGTAGTCATTGATGAAAGTCAACATATATGAGGCTCCTCCATGTGATGGGACACTTGATGACCCCCAAATGTATGAATGCACAATTCAGAATTTTAGTAGATTTGTGTTGGCCTACTAGAAAACTAAAATGAACTTATTTTTTAAACAAGTAGTGTTCACCAAATTCTAAACTACTTGATTTCATTCCATCACATAGTCCATGTTTACATAATTCAGTTATTCCTTGCTTGCCCATGTGTCCTAGTCACATATGTCATAATTTAGTAGTATCTACTGCAAAATGTGATGAGTTAGCTAGAACCACATCACCTATAATAGTATTGCCTTCAAAAACATAGAAATTTGCCATCTTTCGATGACTTTTAAATATAACCAAAGAGCCTTTGCAAACTTTAAGAATTAATTCCTTCTCCAATAAATTTGTATCCCTGAGAATCCAATGTGCTTGGAAATATAAAATTTCTCTTTAGCTTAGGGACGTATTTGACATTGCTCAGAGTATAAAATTTGCCATCGAACATTTTTATGAAAACATTCTCAATACCTTGAATTTTACAAGATGAGTTATTTCCCATCAAAATGACATCAACAACAGACAAAATGCTCAGAGTATGCATTTGATTCACATTTTGTCACGACAAAATTTTTAGCAGAATCAAGAGATGGGGTTATATTTGTGATAGGTTGATCAAATGAGGAAGGCTGATTTGCCCCAAAGGTTTCCCTCTTCATCTTGTTTTGAAGTTTGTAACATTCTGATTTAATGTGACCCTTCTTTTTGCAATACTAGCAAGTTTTGTCAGGATGACGTGACTTAGATTGACCTCTTGAATTATTTTTCTTTCTCTCAAGATCACGTCCTCAGATGACCAGGCCTTCAGCTTGAGATGATGTAGTCATTTTTGAGCACTTGCTGATGCTTTCCTTGGATGAGAGAGCTTCATAAATAGTCTGAATGGATAGACCTTTAGGCCCATAAAATAGAATATCCGAAAGCCTGAAAAAGATGACGGCAGAGGCATAAGTAGGGAGCAAAGATACTTTTCAATTAACATATTTGTATCAAGAGCTTCAAGTTCTATTATAATATCCTTAAAAGTGGTTAAATGGGATTCCAAAAAAGTACCTTCCATCATATGTAGACCAAATAGTCATTGCTTGGTGAGATTCCATTGGGTGACGGTTTTAACCATACATATTTCCTCAAGCCTTGACCATAACTTATGAGCTTCTATCTTCCTTTGAATGTCCCAAAGGATGTCATTTGAGAGATGAAGTTGTATTTGAGTTAGAGCCTTTTGATTTACTATTTTTTCTGATTCTTAGTCCCTGAAGTAGGCATCATTAGAGAAAGAGCATCCTCCAAATTTAGTTGTGTAAGAACTACCTTCATCTTGACTTGCTATAGCATGAAATTTGTCTTCTTATCAAGCTGATGAAATTCCACCTTTATCGATGTCATTAAACCTTCCAATTTATTATAAAAGCCAAATAGCGGCGAAAAGGTTGACAGAAACGTGCGAACAAAGACAGAGAATCTCTAAAGAATAATGCTCAACTAAAATAAACCTCTCAATGAGAGAGTTCACAATAGAGAATAGAGAACAGACAACGGAAGTAAACGCTCACGATCGTGTGCCTTCTACTCTATTTGTAACTGTCACGATCAATGTCTATACGGAAATTTCCCGTCCTTTTCTCCGATGATGGCGGTCCACAGGAAACGGTCAAATTTGACCAAGTTTAACACGGAGGGGTCCCCTTCGCTCTGAGGACGCTTAGCCAGAAGTAGACGGCCAGGGCGGCGAACGCCAAGGGCCGGTGTGCGGCGACGCCTCGGTTCTTCAGGGGGGTGATGCTCGCTGAACTGACGACGAAGGTTCTCCGCGGTAGCTCACGCCGATCGTGGAATTCCGACAAAAAGTCGGATACCTAAAATCCACCATCACGCAAGTTTCAGCCGTTAAGAGGTAGTGAAATGGAGGGATAGAGAGAAAAGGGTAGGTAGAGACAAAGAGGCGTTGAAATAACCCTTGGGAGGTTGGGGCCTCGAGTCTTCGCGATAATCCTGACAATCTCTTCCGCTCGGGGTTGACTTATGACCGACCGGTCATGCAGCGGCTCCGGGAGACTCGATGCCCCTCCGCCGAACCAGTTCCGACACTCTGCAGCCCCACGCATCAACGAACTGCCATACGGCCTTACCATCGGCCGTCATGTGGTGCATGGAGAACCCAGCTGCCACTCCTCTCTCAGGAAAACCCGTGACCTGCACGGAGCACACCGGAGCCAGCAGCTGACTCGCGTCCAAGACCACCACAAGAGACGAGAACGCCTCGATGTCGTAGTGCTTGTCGTCCGTGAGCCGCTGGAAATCTATCCCCTCCGCCTCTGCCTAAATGAAATTGACCCCGTCCTCCCCGTCGCCAGAGAAACTTATCACGAGGTCGCCGGTGCCGTCGACCTCGGTGAACTTCCCGGCGAGGGAAATATCGAGGAAGAGTCCGGGAGAAGGACTCCCTCAGTTCTTCGACTAGGGACGGGATCGGGCGGTCGGTGCTGAACAGCAGCAGCCGTTGTAGGGGGAGGAAGTTTATCCAGCAGGCGTCGAAGAAGGAGAGCTTCACGGGTTCCGGAGTGGAGCCGTCCAGTGGCGAGAGCAAGACGCGGGTGACGTTCAATACTCGAACCTTCCCTATTCTTGGCGGGAGCTACCTCGTCGGAGAAATCGTCTCCTGAACCTACCCAGAATTTATAGGCGATCGCCACCTACCCCGTCTACAGAGCAACTGGACTCATTCTCCTAGGGACAGTTAATGGCGGTGTCCTGCCTAATATCTGGTCCCTTTCAGGTGACCAGGCCGTTCGAATAGATAAGAAGAGAAAAACCCCCAACACCTGTAAGAAGTTGCGAGAAACGGCTAGATCGAAGGACGCAGTTTATCAGGTTCCGAACTTACGGGAAAAACTCTCCTCATCCTCATCTTGGTCTTACAACCCACAAACATTCCAGCCCTATTGCTCTCTGGCGGCTTTTATCTCATTTTCTCCAGCTCAATGCTCCTCTGTGTCAGGCGGGAGAGGGATGCATCACAATGGATGCATCAACTGATGTAGATGAATCATCTAGAATGAGGGACTGTCTTGAATTTCTGACCGGTGTATTTTGTGCCCCTGCAGTTGCCTTATGGGCAAGGAGATGAACCACACGGGCCCTCCTAGGACTTGTTTTCGGTTCCCGCTGCCATGCCACGCGGTGTTCTCGGAAGGACACTGCAAATTTAATGACCGCGAGAAGATTCCCTGGCCATTGTCCCGTGCCCACGAGGGGCCATGGCAGAACAAATAGATAAACGTCTACCGTGCTCTCTCTCTCTCTCTCTCTCTCTCTCTCTCTCTCTCTCTCTCTCTCTAAAGCAAGAAATGGTTCCCCGTGGGAATTTTGGACCCAAAGAAAGAATTGTTTTCAGATAATCACGCACCAATAGCACTCCCCATAACTTATGTGGTGGATATTTTTACATAATTCTTTCGTCAGTGCTAACTACTGAAGAAACTTTGCACCATCTCTCTCTCTCTCTCTCTTCTCTCTTCTCTCCTCTCTCTCTAACAATATACTTGCAAGTGAAGTATATAAAACGTCTACAAATGAAATAGGACATAATAAGCTGTCGTTGTATAGTGAAATGGGATCTACAGAGTTTTCTGGATCTTGCCCAACTCAACGTCCTCGTTCACATGAAACCCAACCCGATTGAAATGACCAGAGTCAGCGCAGATTGCGGTCAACACCAGTCATCACAGAGGCTTGACGAACCCTAAAGGGAACCAACAAGGCTCCACAGGAAGATTTTGGGAGAGAACTTGGAACCGAAGAGGCCATACCCATTTCCATTTACTCTCACATTGTCCAGGGAACAAGGCCGCTTTCCATGACGGCAACATCGTATAAGGCCCCCCTCATCAAGGGCCCAGATGAATCTCTCCAGTTAGTCTCCCCAACTTGTCTGATCACAACAAGCGCTCTTGAATCCCGCAGCTTGAGTTGGCTGCAGGCATTTTCTGAACGCATTGATAAAATGTAGATTAAGAGAACTCCCGAGCACAAAGAACACCGGCATACACCAGATCAGCAAGAAGGCAAAATAATCAAACTGCTTACATGATATAAGGGGATGTGAATGGTGCAATGCTCATCTGAAGGGCTCAACTGGCGCAGATTCTTCAAGAAGAGCAGCAGCTTGAAAACACTCAGCCGCATCAATCGCTGACCTGCTGGTACCGGATGAATGAAGCACACCAAGGTTGAACCAAGCACCATGATTGGTCCTGTCTAGCCTAAGAGCATCACCCAAGAAGCCTCTTGCCGTGCCCATTGACTGATACCCAAGTTTTCCGAGCACTGTAGCAGTGGACACCAGGCTAGGAACATGAGCATGCTCAATTTCCAGTCCATTCCTGTAGGCAACCAGTGCCTCTCTGTGGAGGCCCTTGGCTTCATACATTTGCCCTGAGAATGTACGCATCATTAGCTGCCATGGAAAACCCTTCACAGAATACCCAGAAGCTTTGATAGTCATTGGCCATCACAAATATGAGCTCACATCTCAAAGTCAAACTAAGAATATAAATGATGATGACATGAAAAACAGATCAACAAAATGAATAAATGCCTCATTGAGAATGATGACGTCTTCTCTCTGACATTTAATCAGTAACTGATATGCCGGAAAACTCTGGTTACCCATTAATAAAAACTGAAATAAAATAAATAGATATGCGCCAAAGAAACTAAACGGCACCATATCCTTTTGGACCCTAAAAGTTTTGCGCACCTTCTCAGAAAGCAGCAGTCGAAGGAGGGATGGAAAATAATAATATGATCACTGAGTGTCTAAATGAATAAAATGGTCACCTGTAGCATGCCATCTTAAAGCGGATAACGGGCTAATGTTCTTCAACTTGGAGAGGCAAACCTCAGCATCATTCCACTGAGAAATGCTCGAGTAAATATTTGCCAGATCGTACCATGTTTCTGACTCTAAGTTCCGGTCACTCTTCCCCCCTTGACCCTGACATGCACGAGATGCAAAACACTAGAAGTTTGAGAATTAAATACACAAGTTTTTATATATATATATATATATATATCCAGAGACGTTTACGAGTTAAATAAGAGTTTCAATGGGAATGAAAATTCTTAAATAATGAGACTAAATCCATGCAATCACGAGCAGGGAACTATAATAAAGCGATGGGATTTTCACAGTGTAACATGGCGTATCAATAATCTGAACATCAAGGTAAAATAATATAATGCGAACCATTATGAGGTTTGTTCCGGAGCCCATGCTTTTACTCCTCAGTTGAAGAATGGCGAGAAGCTGGGTATACGTTTCAACCGCATTCTTCAATTTTCCTAGAGCCATCTGGATTCTGGCTTTCGTCTGCAGCAGCTCTCCCTGTCCCCACATTCCAGTCTGCTCCAGCGCAGCATCAACTATGTCCGCAGCGTCAAGGTAACACTTCTTAGCAGATAATACTCTAGCCAAGAGAACCCAGCTTTTTATATTTGATCCAGCTTCAAGCTTCAACAAAAGCTTTGCATAATAAAGTGCTGCATCCAGTTTCCTCTGCTCCGCATTTTCTAGGCTGAGATGATATATAACTTTGTAGTCTTTCAGCATTATTTGGTCAGCTTTCTCCAGAGCCGCAAGAGATTCACATTGCCAGGCGAGTCTTTGGGAATCGGATACAGAAGATCTGGAATGGGTGGAAAGAGAGATGCCCAATAATAAATTGGCAACACTTCCAATTGTATCACACCCGTCACCTAAGTTAGCAAGTGCTCTGCGCGCAAACAGCACTCCCTCCCCTGCATGGGCACTGTTTTCCCCACATATTTTAGAAGCCAATAGTACTGATTTTAAGCAATTAGGATCCTCTCTAGCACTTAAAATCTTCTTCAGAAGATTCAAAGCAACCATGTCGTCTCCTTCACCAAGATAGCAAAGAGCCAGCATGTAGTGTCTTTCTTTTCTCTGCATGGCCCGAGGAAGCACCTCTTCAAGCTGCCTTGCCAAGGCTTTCAGCTCCCCACAGACACAGAGGGCGAATGTTAGATGATCTATAATGGTAGGGTCCCACTCAATCTTATTAAGTGCAAACTTCCTCAAGAGGATCATCAAAAGAAGAATAGCCTCCTCAAAGTTGTTTCTGGGTATAAAGGACACGCCCATTTGAGAACGGAGGTTTGGAGGATTTGCATAGCAACCTCCATGAAGAAGAAAAATGGCGAATTCCTTCTGTATTTTTGCTACTGTCTCTGCAGAGAGGTTCCAATAAGTGATGAGGGCTCTTCGGTATGAGGAGATGGCCTCTTGCGAAAACCCAGCAAGTTTCCATAGCTCTGGAAGCAACTCAACAGCCCTGACGAGTGTATCGTGTAATTTACAATCCACACCAAAATTCTCAGGCAAACCTTTGGGTAATGCAGCCTCGACAGTATCCAGAAGAGTACCACATAGCTGAGCAGCTTCTGAAAGCAAGATTATCAAAGAATAATCAGAGACGAGCCATGAAACATCTTTCTCCCATACTGGGAAAAATTTACAGGAACAACTGAGATCCGTCATGCTTGGCAACAACTGTCTTTCAGAAAATAACCCAAATCTTTCAGGCACTAAATGGAAGCAACAGGCGCTAAGGAAAAACAAGAAATGATCTGTGATCAGAAGGTTTATAGGTATACCTTTAAACCTTCCAAGATGCCCCAATGATTTTGCTTTGAGGAAAATAGCTTCAAAAAGTAAACTGACTGCATGCATGGACATGGGCATTATTGAATTACTACCCCGTGCCCGAAGCTTTCGAGGCTCAGCTCGACTGGCAATCGAGAGCTTCATCTTCGGAACCAAAGCAGCGATATCTATTCCTTCAAAAACATGAAGTGCAGCTTCAATGTTCCCCTGGTTGTATTCCATCCTCCCCAGCAGTGCTCTGGCTTCCTGTGGAGCAAAGATCTGTAAGTTTCTCCCAGATGAAAGTAGTTCTTGATGGGTAAAACGCAGGTCCATTTGAGGAAATCCATTCAATTTCTTCAGAGGAGAGATACCCTGAAGGGACTCACTAAGATTATTCACACCAGAGAAAAGAAAAATTAAACTAAAGCAAGGAAAATACGGCCTACACGAACCTCATAGTTCAGGCATCCGCCCTCACGAAGAGAGGATTCAGCTTCTTCGATGTTTCCAGTGTCAACGATCCTTTGATCAGCTGCGCCAGTTTGACCGGAACAATCTCCAGCGGAGACGTCCATTGTTTCCGTCGACTTGGAGGATCGGATCGCACGATCTGCTCTGGCATGTTCTCCAGAACACAAGCACTTCATTATCCTCTGAGGACGTGGCCCAGCAGAGGCCGCCCCGGCTCAGTAGTCGATGTCCTACCGTCTCCAATGCCTCCCCATCGTCTGAAGAAAAGTACAGATCGAGCAAACGTTCTGAGCAGGAAGTAATCAATACCAGCAAAGCTATGTTGAAGACGACTCGCCATTAATTTTTACTAAAGAGTTATTCCAATCACAAAAAGGAGAGCGGGTGCCTTCCAAGAAAAGAATAGCCAACATTTCAACTCTAGATCTTAGAGCACAGAAGACGGCTGCTGAGAAGCAGCTCGGCACCCACCGCGGGGGAAATCGTGTCGAGGAAGAAATCCTGAGAACAGGAATGAAAATCTCTCCACAAATCTCTCTACATCCAATTATCCTCGAGTTTTCGAAGGAGCCTTAGCAGCACCAAAACCAAAGCAAGTAAAACCCCCGAGGGCTGACGCTTCCAACCATTCCCTCAATATCTCGACGAGAATTGTTGAAAGAGGTGACTACACCAGAACTCGACTGCCAAACCTCTGATGCCGAACGCGCAAGGTGGCATTCGCCGAATCTACAAACGCGCCGACGAACAGAGAGAACGATCCCTGTACCCCACCACCCGTTGCAGAGAGCGGGAGGAAATGCAGTGGCTCCGAAACCCTAGATTCCGACGGGAAAACAGCAGATCGACGAAAGTAAAGGAGCGAACTGAGGCATTAAAGTTGGTGGCGGAGGAGGGAGGCTACCTTTCTCACGTGAACAGTGAGACGCCCCAACTCTCCAATCTCACCTTCCCCAACAAAAACCCCGCCAAGAGAACTCTTCAGAATCATTGCCCAACTTCCATTTTCTTCTCCCCCTCCAATTCCTCGGAGCAGAACACCCAAACCCAACCTGCTCAATACTCCCGAGGTCCAACAGTCGCAGCATCGGGGCCGACAGAGACGACTTCCCCCAGGAAAACAGCAAGAAAACTACGCCCCCCCACCCACACAGTCGTGATAGACGTCACTGGAATTCAAACCAAATCGCGACCCATCGAAAGGAGAGAGGAAAGCGAAAGGGGAGGGAAAGATCACGGCGGCGACAAATCATGTCTGATACCGACCAGGTGGCCGCCGCTCCCCGCTCAGCCACGTGGCGTACGCCTGAAGCTCCTTCCACCGCCGGCGCCACCGCCGCTACCACGCCCCGCTCCGCCTGGTTTGAACCACAGAAACAGGCGGGGGCGGCCACACGGAGCCATTTTTCTATTCCATTATTCAAGGTAATAAATCAAAGAATAATATTTTTTTATCCACCGGCAGAATAGCCCACCCTAAATAAGGTTGCCTTTGGAAAATTAATCCCACTCCCCTCTCATTTATCTGATTTGCATTTATTGACATTATTAGTTCGAAATGTCCCAAATAAGTAATTGCCTATTTTTAGTAATAATACTATATTTAAATAAAATATAATATGTTTCAATTTACGGAGCATTTATGGGGACCACAACTAGTACCCGCTCGAGACGTACACAATCCTCTCTCTGTGTCTGTCTGCCTCCCCATGCGAGAAGAATTGAGGACTCCTGTTTGGGTCCTAATCCCACCGATACGTAAGTATTCGGTGCACAACAATTCGTATGAGCTAGATTCGCGAATCGAGGAGAGATTCTAGGAACCAGCGCTGATTCCGTCCACGCGGTTCCACGTTATCAGTAAATCCAAAACCCTTCGTTCGGCCCGTATTCGTTCACGATATTCTCGCGCGTGGAGAGATTTTAGGTGAACAACGAGAAGGAGCTATTTATCGCGATACATTTTATTCACTTTCTCATGCGTAGAAGTCTCTAGAGACTGGAGGAAACTTCTTCACCACGTCGGAGGGCCGTTATATAAATTCCAAGCCGTTCATTCTCCAAATCAGGTATCGTCGCGAATTGTCTGCCCTCAGAATAGTCCTCGTCGTTGCATCGATCTTCTTCTCCTTTTTGGGCCGCAGGTATAATGTCAGGGGAAGAGATCCATCTGTCTTTCTTCTGATTTTCTTGAAACATTTTACGTACGATCGATAGGGTTTCTTGATAACAGATTTCGCGATTTTCATGCCTCCATCTCTGGTCCCCCCCTTTCTCCCGATATGCAGGCATCTGTTTGTATCATATGGTTCTTGGACAATTGCTTTTGCTTGAATGCCGTGTTTCCAAATATTCCCAAATCTCTGATCTAAGGATTTGTGGAGCTATGTTTCTCTGCGTTCATCTGATGTAGTTTAAAGGGATCATGCTCTTCGTACTCACTCGGTTCTATCTCTGTCAGAGGGCTAATTGGGATTTACATTCCATCCAGGAACACCACCCGATCAAGGAAGATGGCCGAGGTGAGGAATCGTTGAACATTACCTTTCATCGGGGCCGTTAATAATCGTCAAAGAGCTAATTGGGATTCCCCTTGGTGTTATGGTGTAGGATGGACACAAGGTTTCCCTGAACGTATATGACCTCAGCCAAGGACTTGCACGCCAACTTTCGTCATCATTTCTTGGCAAAGTGATCGACGGCATATGGTAACACAATGTCTCGCATTATTTTCACATCATCAAATAATACTCTTGGTATCACAGACTTGTAGATCTCACCAGGAAATGTTCAGAAAGATAATCACTTGTGCTCTACTTTGGAAATATGAAAGAATAATTTTACCCTTGGGATTGAATTTACTCTGGGGAGGGTGGGAGAATACATTTGTGAGAACGATTTGTGAATTCTGAATTCGTGAAAAGGATTTTATGGCTCTTACATCTCAAAATTTCTTTGATGCAACGGCTGAGATCTGCTCAGATAAGAAGACCATTAACATTCGTATGCCACTGCAAGTCGAGGCTACAGTTTTTGCGGCTTTAGTCACTGGTCCAGTACGCTCCCTTTTTCTCATCGAATTGCACTCACCACTGCGTGCCCAGGTTCAAAATATCTTTAAAAGTATTTTTTCCCCTCTCGTATATATTTCTTCCACGTTTCATGGCTATCAGTACTGTTCCTCTTTTTTCTTTTTTATCCGTGATGGTGTTCCAAGTATTGGGTAGATTCTAATCCCCTCTTCTGGCATTTCTCAAGTTTTTTTGTGAGGTGGGGTAGCCCTGATTCCGTTGTAGTCCCTATCCTACATAGCAATATGACATATCGGTCTGTATGCTTCTAATCATATTTTCTTTGTCCTTATTTGAGGTATGTTGTACTTCTCTATTTATAGAACAAATGTGTGTCATCTTGAATTCCGCAGCAAAGAAATTTTAGGTTTTTTCTTAGCTACATCTCTGTAAACGCGTACAATCTTTGCGTTCTCGATACGAAGCTGGGGAAGATTGTCTGGAATGTATTCCAAGTCAACGACGTCTCAACGATTTATCGTAGACATTACTACGCACTTACTTACGCCTACTGAACTACTCTAATTATATGACAATACTCGAATTGTCGCGCGTCCCCCTTCTCCTTTTGTCACTTCCTGAGAGATAACAGTGAATGTTCTGTCCCCATGCTCATTCATATTACAGTTTCAACGATCGTACGTAGCCTCTTTGCCTCAATCTGAGTTCATTCTCCAGGCACACGGGCGTGGTGGTGTACGGCAGCGAGTACTACTTCGGAGGAGGCATACAGCAGGCTCCCGTGGGAACCACCCCATACGGTACCCCGGTGACGGTGATAGACCTGGGCGTCACCCACGTCCCCAAGGAGCTCTTCGAGGAGTACCTTCACGAGATCGCCCCCCGCTACACCATGGAGACTTACAGCCTCCTCGAGCACAACTGCAACAACTTCAGCAACGAGGTCTCTCAATTCCTCGTCGGCGTCGGCATCCCCGAGTACATACTACGCCTCCCCCACGAGGTCAAGAGCAGCCCGATGGGCGCTTTAATCTGTGAGCAGCTCCTCCTCCCCCTCATTATCATCATCGTCTCTGCAATCCCCACCATGCTCGATTCCAAGTCATGCTCATTCATGTCGTTCTTGTGCAGTGCCCATGATACAGCAGCTGGAGACCACCCTGAGGGCGGGCGCAGTGCCGCAGGCCCCACAGTTCAGGCCGGCGGCTCTGGCGAGACGGGCCGACAACACCTCGACCTCCACCAAGGAAGGCCGGAAGGATGCTACTGGCGCCACTCCTCCAGGGGCGTCATCCAACAGCAAGGTCGAGAGCAGTTCCCCCTCGAAGGACGTGAAACAGTCGGCCTCCAGCGGGGGGGCACTACCTGCTGCTGCTGCCGCAGATCCTCTGGGAGACGCCCGGAGCAGGGTCCAGGAGGAGATAACTAAGGAATTCGTAGCACTCATGGCCAGCGGGACCCTCCGCGCCAGTGAGGCGGCGGCGCTCGCCACCAGGAGAGTCATGCAGAGGTACGGCGGTGCCGCCACCAATGTTTCCGCCCAGTGAGGACGAGAGCCACGACCGGCGGCGGCTTTTCTACTATTGACCAATTGATCGACCCATATAATATCATTGATTCTTGCCCGGGTTGTAGCTCCGATCATCCTCTGTAACGATTTGACGGATTAGGATATTTATGCTGTGCCCGGTATGAAATCACGCCGCCTGATTATTGCCCAATCATCCAGGATCAGCCATTTTAATATGAAAAGAGAGATGATATGTGAATGAGAAGCAGGCGATTTAGTGGGCAGCTGAAGCCCACAAAGCCCATAAGAGTTTTTTCTAAGGCCCTCTTGGCCCAATTTACTGCGCCATCCACGCTTATGATCCGCAAGGGCAGAATCCGATGAGATAGCAATCAGTATATTATGATATATGTAATGGGGTTTATGATGACATCGTGGTCACTTCTCACCACGCCAGGTTTCGGTTACTCGCGAAACACGGCGGATCGAGTGGCCGCGATCTCCTCGCCAGAACAGACTCAACGGCTCTAGGCACGTTGTCTTGCTTCGGCGCCGAGCCGAGAGAGAACCAGGCGCGGGAAATTTGAGCGTCCGGCCCGTTCGGAAAGCCGCGCGAGAGGGGGAAGTGGCCGGCTTCTCGAGGGGGGTGGAGTCGTTCCAGGAATTTCTCCTCTATAGAGCTTCTCCCCGACGGCAGCGCCGGTTTCTTTTGTTTATCGGCATCGAAAATCTTGGCGGGACGTTTCTGAGGATCATACTTTAGCGGCGTCGGTCTTCCGCTGGTTTCTGCGAGCCCCAGAGCACCGAGAGAAATACAAAGTCCGGGAATCAAAAATCGAGAGAAAACAGAGGAGAACGTCCGGGTCCCTTTTACATCGCAACCTATTCTCCAGATCTCAACATAAAGAAAAGATCAAGTGTGGAGTTTGGCTTTGGTATGATTTCCTACGTTAGCTTGTTCTCTTCCTTCGCGAACCGTGGATCATCTCCCGTTGTAACCTTTCTAGTTCAGACGGTCTACAACAGCCGGAGTCCTTTGGCTGATAATACAACTCGCGGAGTCCTTGGGTCTTTCAGATGAATCTCAACTTTGTGGCAAAGCGAAAATCTCAGCATAAGATGTCTAACAGTAAATGTCACAGCATAACGTCAACCTCTTAATCTAGAGTCAAGGTACAGTGGAAGAAGACTTGATATGTCTACGTTCTGCAGAGATGATTCGGAAGGATCTAACAAGCGTAACGATATTTTCCTATGTTCATGATGTCGAAAGATGACAAACTATGGAAGGTAGGACTGAGCCTAGAGGGACAAGCTTTGGAATGGTTCAAAAGGGAGGATTGAAGAGATCCTTTCCATTATTAGAAGCATTTAAAGAACGTTGTTCAAAATGGGTTTGGTGGTTCAGAGGGCACCTTCAATGTGGTGGGTCAACTTTGAGAGCTGAGGTGCTCTTGAACCCATCTTGAACTGGTTATAAGGTTCAAGTGTAACTCAAATCTATTTCTTTCATTCCTGGTTCGATTTCAGCCTATTCATCCTTAGATTATAGTGTTGTTATATCTATATTTTCCTTCCATCTCAAACCATTATCTTGCGAGTCCTATAAACCGGCATTATTGCACATGGTACCTAGAAACAGTCTAGAGAAGGATTTGTGATTTTGAAGGGGATGATGCAATCAGATTTATAATGGTTAACATCTATGAAGAACATTATGGCAAGATGGCGCACTAATTGGAACAGATGTTGCACAAGATGAGCAACACTTCAAAACGAGGTGAGGGGAAGATGCATTGATGGCGAAAGGACCTAATAAGGTGATAGCAACGGAAGGTATAGAGGCAAGGAATTGTTCTTTTCACAACACGAATTAGTGAACTAACCTTAGCAAACTGAGGGTGAAGCCTCTCTTAGATGCCCTAATTGTGGTCAGCCTGGGTGGACACCGGCCAGATGTCCCTCTTTTCTGAGGAAATTTGGATACTTGGATATTCAAGGTGGAAATGTACTTCAAAGTATAGGAAATAAACGACATATAATCTAAGACTACAATAACCTATTTGGATGATGATGCCTAAGTTTGGTATAAGTGGGCTGAATGTTAAGGACCCTTTTTAAGGATTGAGAAGATGTTAAACATTGTCTATGGAATAACTATTGGGTTTCAAATAATGTGACATTATTTTAGACTATCAAAAGGAGTTTGAGTTGTTATCCAATACAATTCAAGGCATTTTAGAAGAAGTGTTAGAAAGTAAATTTCTTAAAGGACTCAAGCCTAAGATTAAGGCTGAAGTTAAATTATTCAAATCAAAAGGACTCAACAAAATTAAGGATGCTACTCAAACTATGGATGGGAAGAATGTCACCCTCAAGAACATGAGGGAGTAGAGAAGCTACAAGTTGAGAAAATTGTTTTTATGAGGCAAGTATTTCTAATGAACCCAAGTAGAGAGACCAAAGACCTAGAGTCTTCCTTGAATAAGGCTAACAATTAATGGGATAGACCTCTTTCTTGGAGGGGCACCAAAATTAGCCCAAGGATTGTGAACAGCATGAGGAGATTGACCAAACAAAATTAGAGCTGCAATGTAGACGAGACAAAGATTTTAACTTGGACATATCTAGAAAAGAAATTACAATTGTTTCTAGTCCATGAAGAGGAGGACAACTTGGGAGAGGTTATTTTACCCTTGGCCATAGATCAAATAAACAAAGTGATATCAAAGAAGCTAATATTGAATATTTTCATAATTCAATAATCAGTCTACCTATACCAAGAACCCTGAAGTTGAAAAGGCAAATCAAGGACAAGAATTAATGGCAAATTGAGGCCACACATAATGTTATATTTTGAGAGTTAATATAAGAGCTGAAGCTAACCTTATCAACTACTATAAATTATGAGGTGGTTATGAGAAATAGAATAGCTATTATATGATAGAGAATATGTCAAGATGTGGTACAAAAAATACAAGGACTAATGATAATTGATGAAATATTATCCTTAATATTGGGCATTGCATATGTTGTATTAGAAATGTAGTGGCTAAAGACCTTGGACTTCATATGGGTGAGCTAGAAACATTGTTAAATAAAATTTCTATTGGGAGGCACCATTGTCACATTCAAAGGTAACCCCAATCTCTCAAAGTCAAATGTAACCCTTAAGTCTATATCATGTGATTTCCAATAACTTATTAGAGAAGCTACAGAAAAACCTTACATCTCACCTACTACTGAGAAAATACTTGCAGCCTCCTTTATAATAAATTTTATCTTAGTGAGGGACTTCCTCCCAACATAGAGATCAATTATTGCATTGTACTAGAGGCAAGTAAGGGGCTTGTTATGTTTCACACCATTTTGGAGCATTTGTACTACACTAGCTTCACTTTTCTAAGATTTCATGAAATTGTGTATGGATAGTGGAGCCACTCACAATTTCATATCAAGACATGTGGCTCTTGAGATGAAGCTTTTGATCATTCACGACATAATTTTATTTGATTATTGAAATAAGAGAAGAGGTGAAGAGTTTGAGGATTTATCAAGGTATTTTGGTAGAATTATAGTCACTCATAGTCATAGATGATTTCATACTTCTCCATCTAGCAAGTAAGTTGGTAAATTAAATTTTAAAAAATAAACTTGATCTATAGAATGGATGATCATGTTGCTTCTAATGATCCAATGATGAGTAACACTCCAACTAGACTCACTAGATTGACAAGGCACCTCCATCAAGATGTTATCAAAGCTTATCAAACATATGAGTAAGCTCCTTATCAAACTTTACCATATCACATTAATATTTGACAATTTAAGTCAAATCATAAATTATTAAAAATGTGAGCTCTAAGGATAGTTTCTCAAAATATTTAGAGAAACCACTTAACTTTCTCTAAAAAGAGAAGTCAAGCACATTGTCAATTTAAAGCTCAACTCTAAATACATAAACATGTGGCTTGATAAGTCTTCATTATAAAGAGTTAATAATTTATTAATATATAGTTTTAGTTTTAACTCATAATAAATAGATATATATATATGTTAAAATATAAAAAATAATTTTTAGTTGGTTAATATAATTTTTTGACTAATTATGTGATTTTATGTGAATTTATATAATTTTTATAATCCTATTTTTGAAATAAATGAAGAGAAATAAAATAAAACAAAAATATATAAAAAGGAAGGACCCACTATCGAGTGGAGTTATGATCAGGGGATCGAGCGAATAAGGATGAACCTATAAGAGACATGTGTGAGTCACTTCCCTTCCACGTCACTAGTGGCCAACTAAGCATGGGGTAATGAGTGGTCATACACAAGTGAGAAAAGGGCACACTGATTACCAAATCTCGTATTATTATATATCTATCTCAAAACTCAACATATAATTGATGTGTAATTAAATCAGTGGTCACAACCTCTCAATTTTTTTTAATAGTTTTAGTACTTTAAATATCCTTTATTTATCAAAAAGAGATGTCATTATGACATCATTTTATAAAGATATTCACATACTTATTTTACTCTCTCTCATACAATTGGCTGATTGGAGAAGATTTAAATCTACTAAAGTTAAAACTCATACTTTTATGTAACTAATCATAATCTTTTTATAAATTATTGGTAAATAATTAAGTTATCAAAATCACTCAATCATCGATAAAAATTTTATCAACATGATTCTTTGAGTATTATTACTAAAATTGTTGAATAATTTTAGATAAAAAGATCATAAATTCATCAATTAAATCATCTTTAATTGATCAATGAATAAGCCGTCATCGAGAAAAGGATGATATGTTAAGAAATGAGTCATCATCTCTTGAGAGCATACTAGATGTAATGAATAATCTTATCTTGCTATACATACATGAAGATGAAGTTTCTTAAGATGCATCTTGATGTGACTTAGTCATTGTATAGTAAATCACATAAATTTAAAATTTATTAAATTAGAAAATATGAATTTTTAGATATTTGTATTTATGAAGAAATATATCAATTATAATTCAATAAAAC